TGCCGTGACGCCCACGTGCGGGTAGTAGTGCAGCGGCACGTGCGAGTGGAAGGGGTAGGGCAGGCTTCCGGTGGCGGCCGCGTGCGTCATCATGTAGGTGTAGAAGCTGGGGTCTGCTGGGTGCGGCCAGGACATCGCCAGGCGCTGCCGCTTGTCCTTCATGCGCCGATTCTGGAACCACACCTGCGGGGAGAGACGTGCCGCAGCCCGGGTTAGGGAGCGCCCCGTGTTCCCTGCTCCTGTCCCGGGACCTCTGCCCCTCCCGGACCTCTGAATGGCTTGGCCTACTTCTCTCCGACCAAGCCCAACCCCGAGTATCCTGTGCTCTCCCAGCTGGGAAAGTGTGAACGGCCGTGTGTGGACCGCCGTGGGCACACCGTCCTCAGCGAAGAGGGTCCTCTCCCCCGCGTCCGGTTGCTGCTGCTCCTCAGGCTTTTACTCCCTTACTTCTTGCTGCGACTTTTTTGTCCCAACCCAACCTTTCCTCTCCCTCCTGCCACCCACCAGTGCCGGTCTCGCCGAGCACCCCTCTCTCAATCCCAGGATTTTCACGGGGATTCTGGGCAGCCTTTGAAGAGAGGCTGCCGCTCAGCTTTTCTGAGAGGTCTCCGCGCGAAGTCTTGAGCCCTCAGAACTGCAAGGACCTGTCCCTAGGGGCACGGGTCCGATTTTGATATTGAAGGGATGATTTCGTTGGAATCGTTTGCCTTAAATGAGTGGGTAGAGCAATGTCTCCATAAACGGGGAAGGTTACGTTTCCACCCCTCCCAACACTATCTAATAAAGACATCATTCGTCACAACTCTAAATTAAAGAAAGCCCGATCAAACCACAGGGAGACTTCCACACTCCTCCCCTACCCTGTGGAGTTTTTTTCTTTTTCTGCAGTGTCGAACGCTCCATGAAGGGCTCACCAAATCGCCTAACCTCCCGGCTATCTCTCCCAGACGTATAATAAAATTAATAACCTAAAGTTATATATAAATAAGGACAATTTCGTTGCATTTTTCCCCGCAGGAAGTTGCCCTTTTTTCATTGCCCAAGAGGAAAATGTTTAGGAAACTACTGTCTCAAACCAATCGATTTTTAAAATACAGTATCTTTTTCTCCATGTAACGATTTATGCGGAAAATAAATCTCCAAGCTCAAGAGCAAATGAAAAGTTTCATCTCTGGTTCCTGCTTGAGGAACAAAGACCAACTGGGCTTGCCGCCTAGGGGAAAGTGGGGCCGTGGATATGGGCGAGGGGGCATCTGGCCGGGCGTTGGGCACAATGGAGCAGAGGCAAGTGCTTTCAGCATTGGAGTGACCATTCGGGGGCCTTCTTAGATCCGTCAGGCGGGACAACCGTTCGGATTCGGTAGCCGAGAAATAAATAAGCCAATTCCTTTGGTGACTACCCCCCGCGGATTTCCAGACCCTCAGCTAAATCTAGCCACCCAGAAAGGGGAAAGGGGAAAAAGAAACAATCAACCCAGATGCCCCCGGGGAGGCCAGAGCAGGCACGCACTGGAATCGATACCTTGATGGTGGTTTCGGGCAGGTTGAGCGCCGCGGCCAGCTCGCACCGGCGGGGCCGCGACACATAGTTCTCCCGGTAGAACTCCTTCTCCAGGCGCGCGATCTGCTCGCGGGTGAACGCCGTACGGTAGCGCCGCACTTGATCCGCGCCAGAGCCGGAGCCACCCAGCGCCGCGCCCCCGCCGCTGCCTCCGCTGCCTCCATGCAGGCTTCCAAGGCCTGAGCCCGATGCCGACGTCGTGGTGCCGGCAGCCGAGCCGCTCTCTGCGTACCCTGGCAAACAAACGGCCAACAGCGCATGAGTGGCTGTAGGGCCAACAGCCCCGCGCTGGTGCTGCGCTCGGATCGGGGAAGCCCCGTCAGGAAGGAGAGTCGCTGCCTGAATTGATGGGGTCTGTCATGCTTACAAATTGCTGCGGTTAATGGAATCAATAAAGTTTGGGGAGCCCTTCATAAGCAAATAATAGAAACTGAATTAGGAGATTTCTTTTTTAATAATTAGAAATTGTCAACTAAGGAGGAAAAGTGGCCGAGGGAAAATGCCTACCTCTGGGCGCAATTTGGGAAGCTCTGGGTTTGCCATGGTCTGGAGACCGCGGGGCAGCTTTCTGTACGGCCTCTAACCTTTATTGAGTCTTCGGGGTTTCGAATATTTTAAGAGTTCCAAGACAGCAGCAGCTCAAACCCAAGCCAATAGGGGGTGAAATCTACTTTTCAACTCTCTCCAGCTGACCTTAGCAGAGACGCCCAGCGAGGCTTCCGCCGACTTACCCAGAAGAATGCCCCCTCCATTCGGCCCTGAAGGCTCAGAGGCACCGGAGTTCAGAGTAGTTGCCCAGGGTACCTTTTCCAAAAGCAACTCGGCTGCTGACTAAGTAAGGGTCTATCGGCTCGCTCGCGCTCTCAGACACGAGCGCAGAAACATTTTCTCGGACTCAGGAGCGAGGGCGGGTGGGCCTGGTGTTCCAGGCTCCGCAGGCCTGAGCCTTGCGGGAAAACTCAAGGAGCAGGACGGGAGGGCACGGTCCCAGACATGCGTCCCGCCCCCGCCCGTGCTAGCTCGGTGCAGCTTGCTGGTGGAGGGTCTGAGAGGGGCAAAGGCACCGGGAAGGGCTGGCGGGGCCCGCGGAGGAGCAAAGAGGATGGGAATGAATTGCGCGGTGCGGCCGGCGCGGTTACCTTTGCCATTGTTTTCCTTGAGCTGAGCGGTGCCTAGGCCACCGGGGGAGCGCAGCGCGGAGCAGCCCACCTCCACGTTGCTGCTCATGTCGGCCTCGGCGGCCGCCTCTGAATAATGGCCCGGCTTCTTGCGGCTCTCGGCGGCGGAGGAGATTTCGGAGGAGACGGTGCTTTCGCTGCCCGTGTGCTGCAGGTTGAACAAAGTGTCTATTTCGAATTTGCCCTTGGCGGGGAGGTCTCCCAGAGCGCCGTGCAGGGGGGCAGACGGCAGCCGCGGGCTGAGGCGAGCCGGGTGCTGCGAATTTTCCAGGGCCTCGAGCACAGCATTGCCAGCCGAGTCGGACAAATTGGAGAATCTCTTGCCAGCCGTAGGGCTGTGCAGCCCTCTTTCCATCAGAATCATCTCTTTTCTTATTCTTTCCATCATCTCAGCTTTCTTAAAAATGTCACAGTGGCCCTGCTGTCCCGTCCTAATGATAGGCTGCGCCTAGGGCTAATTCTCATTCAGCCCCAGCGAACGCCTCTAAATATTATTATCTCTTTCGGAGGGAGGCGGAAAAATTGTGGGATGCCAGAGCGAGGGAATGACTGGTCAAAATGACCCATACATCCTTCCGAGCCCGAGATGTCATTCATCAAAAAGTAGCGCCCGCTCGTCATTAAGGTACGAATGACGCTGTTCGAATAATCATTTATTGTAACAGGTTTATAAGCAAATAAATACACGCTCCTGTCAGTGGGTAATGAAGGCAGCTTCAGAGCAGACAAATAGATCCAGGTAGGAGGCGAGAAGAGACAAGTGAGGAGGAAGGCTCCGGTCCTTTGCCCGCTCGGAGCCAGTTCTGCTCGCCCGGGGGTTTGGCCTCGGGGGTGAAATTGACAGTCTGATTAATAGAGCGCGCCGCGGCACATTTCCCCCTTCATTTAGGGGCATCATTACGCTCTCAGTTTGCTGGGTTGCCCCTTAGGTCCTAATCATGCAGCGCCTTCCTCATTTTTCCTTGGACACAGATATGTATTAAATAATAGATAATGGTTTGACTTTCCAGGGTAGATCCTCGGGAAGGTTTTTTTTTTTTTTTTTTTTTTTTTTTTTTTTTTTTTCGTTTTGTTTTAACATTTACAAGCTGCGGGCGTAAGTAGGGGGAGATAAGGGGGAGGATGCAGGAAGAGTTGCGTAAGGAGAAGACCTTGCGCCTCTCCTGTCTGGATTACTTATCTTTCGGATTTCAGAACCAAATATGTATTTTATTTAACAAATAGGACGCCGGAGTTCTCTCCCTCTCTATTTCTTCACCTCTGCCTGAATGCTCTCCTCCCACCCCGGGGGGTGGGTGGATGGGGAGAGGGAGAGAGCGAGACAGAGACAGAGACAGAGAGAAAGACACACACACACACACACACACACAGAGAGAGAGAGAGAGAGAGAGAGAGAGAGAGAGAGAGAGATCCTAGAGTTTTGAAAGCACTTTCTTGCTACGTGGCCGCGGAGGTGCATTGGGCCCGCGCCTCCAAACGGAAATCATTAGGTCCTCTCTGATTTTCTAACACCGTTTGCAGAGTGAGATCTGAACTCGAAGTCCCCGGTTTTTTACTTTTATAATCCTGCTGATAGCCTTCTCGCCTACGCATTTTCCCGAGGGGAAACGAACTAGGCTGAACGATTTGATAGCAGAATTCGACAGCTAACTTTAAACACAGTGGAGATTTACAGTGCCATACGGGCGCTCCAAATCCACTTTCACGTTGCCAGATTTTCCCCTCCCTCCTCAAATGGAATTATTTGCGGCAAAGGCGCTGGACTTCGAGGTCAAAAGAGGAAAGAGGAGACAGCTTTCTTCCCCTACCTCCCTGCTGCCCTCCCTTTTCTTCCTTCTCTCTTTCCTCCCCTCATCAACCGCAGCCCCTTACCTGCGGCCACAGGTATTCCCAGCGTTGAGTCCGGGCGCAGAGAGTCGCCGAACAGTCTTACCACAGCTCTCTGCGGCCTGGGCTTGGCGGCTGAGCCTCTTGGCGATAACTTTGATTGTCATAATGACGCCGGTGGCAACCATTTTAAGAAAGATCAATCTTCACTCAAGGCCGCTCCTCATCTGCCGCGGTTGCGCCCAATCTTCCCTGACCCTCCAAGCACTGTGCCCGCCCGCCAGCGGCCCAACGGGAGAGAGATTCGCGGACACTGGCGGAGGCGAGGGAGGACGAGGATGGGACGCGGAGGTCCTCCCGTGAGCTTCTGAAGCGGCTGAGAGACCCTTACAATCTGGGCACTGGGCGCGGTCCTGCATCCCCGCATTTAGCGTCAACCCAGAACCCAACCAGAACCCCCTCCTCTCCTTTCTCCGGACATACCCAGAACATTGGGGTGCGTTAGGGGGGCAAACTCGAGATCTATTTGCCTATGGTTCTTGGCGCTTTCCTTTTAACCTTAGACCCGTTGGGGGCGTCAGGAATGTAAGGGGAGGCGAGGTGTGAAGTATATTTATATACATATATACACACATATAGTCAATGCCAAAAGTTTATCTTCTCTTCCCCTCGGCGCCAACTTATTTCCACAACGCGAGCTTTGCTTAGAAAATCAATTCTACCTATTTAAGGTAATAAACGGAAAGCTCGATAGACAGGCGGTGCCTGGGGGAAGGGGAAACCGGTGGGGAACGCAGAGTGAGCATCCGGCACCGGAACTGGGACTTGACCCAGCGTCCATCTCTGCCCCTGCCCCATTGGCCACCCAGCTCCGAGCTCCCTGAGTTCTCATTGCGCCGGCTTTGGGGACATCAGCGCGGTGGGAGCCCAGCCCTGCCAACGCCCCCACCTGCTCCCTCTCTGCTCCGCAGCCGGGATGCCCAATTCTACGATGCCTTGCAGTCGCTGCCCCTGTGACCCAGGAAGGGTCCCCCTACCCAGTCCTCGCTTGCTCCAGGGACTGAATGAGACACCTTGGTCCAGGCTTGGGTCGTGCTGGGTTGGTGGTGGGGGGGTGGGGTGCAAGACCCTGGCGGGAGTGTGGGTGAGCTGAGGCACTGCTTGGGCGGAAATCCGTGGATGCCTTTATTGCTGTCGTTTGGCGCCCCCATCTGTTTTCCTCGCGGTTTCGTCTGCTATGAGTTGGTTTTCAAGTCGGAGACGCAGTCATTGGAACTAAGGTGAGGACTGACGACGCCCTCCTCTATCCCTCAGCCCAAGGGTCTCCCACATCTTCCCTTCCTCTGGGACCTGACGCCTCTGGTCCCAAAGGCTGCGCCAAACCGGACCTCAGTCTGTTGAAAGGGAAAACACTGTTTCTCAGCAACACCTTCATTCATTAGTGGCTTTGAAAACTATTTTTGCACCTTTTAAATTACACTGATATTGCATTTCTAGCACGTTTATTACAAAAAAAAAAAAAAAACATGTCAGAGACCATGTCAGCGAAACTACTCACAGTAAAAGACACCTATAATGTTTCCACTAAACTGGGTGTAGCAGGCAATAATGTTTCATGGGGTACAGTGACCATTCCATTCCAATATTTAATGTCCGTTTATTTATTTAGAGATTCCACACCCACTAGTAGTAATATTGGCTAACTTATATGAAGCTCTTACTATGCAATTCCAAGTGCTTTTTACATGTTATCTCAGCTAAGGTTCACAGCAACTCTGTGAGATTTGAACTATTATCCCTTTTCCAGAGATTATGAGCCAGAGGGGTTCAGGGACTTGCTCGTGATTTAAACTTATATCCGATGATAAAGTCAAAAGGGTTGTTTAAAGCCTTGGGCAGCATTTTTTAGGTTAATACTCTCATTTTGCCTATGTCTTATGTAAATACAGGCCTACCTCAAAAACACTGAACCTATATAGAGGGTAGTAAGAAGAATGCAGTTCCCTTTATTTGTGTGTGTGTGTGTTTTGTTGGTGGTGGTGGTAGTGGTGGTGGTGGTTTTTGTTTGTTTGTTTTTAAGACAGAGTCTCACACTTGTTGCCCAGGCTGGAGTACAGTGGCAAGATCTCGACTCACCGCAACCTCTGCCTCCCGGGTTCAAACGATTTTCCTGCCTCAGGCTCCTAAGCAACTGGGATTACAAGCATGAGCCACCATGGCAGGCTAATTTTTGTAGTTTTAGTAGAGACAGGGTTTCACCAAATTGTCCGGGCTGGTCTCGAACTCCTGACCTCAGGTGATCCGCCCGCCTCAGCCTTCCAAAGTGCTGGGATTACAAGCGTGAGCCACCGCACCCCGCCCTATTGATGTTTTTTGATGAAATACCCAAACTTGCACCTCTCCCAGAATGTGAAGACCAAGGCTGGGAACAGGCCTGTCAAATGTTCCGGGTGGTTTGATGCAGCCTCTGTGACCGTCAAGGCCTCTTACCCACTACCAAGGTACAGAACCCACTAGATAAAACAAGACAAGAATCCAACCTAAGCGTGCATGCTTTGGCAGAAATTTTTAAGATGGTGTGGGGAGTACAGGAAGGACTTCCTTCGCATGGACTGAAAAGCCCTTTTTGTTCTAAAGGAGTAATGACTTTGAAGAGGCCTAATTTTTTGGTTCGGCTTCCAGACTAAATATTTGTTTCTTGAGCAGCAGCGGGTCCTCTGAGGTGAAGTGGTAAACACTTTTGGCCTATGACTGCGGGTAATAAAAATCTATCCAGGCCGCCCGAGGGGAGGGGCGCCGGTAAAGCCGGAGCTGCAGCGAAGCCCGGGGTCTGCCGCTGCCGAAGCCTGGCTCGCCTCTTACGCTGGGGGCTACGGGCAGTTGGGGCCGACAACCTGCGAGCCCGCCTTGGGACGCATGCTCGCTCGACAGCTGGGGCTGCAGGGTGCGATGGGACAGTAGGACCGCGAAAGCCTGGGCTTCGAGCCTCGGGCTCCCTGTCTTTAGGCAAAGTGCGGTTTCCACGGCTGCAGGTTTCGCTGCATAAGGGAAGACTTGGATTTGGCGACTCCAGTCCTCACTTCGCGGTGGCAACTTTATGCTCCCATCCCTCGGTAGGCCAGCTTCTAGCTCTCTGTCCCTTCCGGGTCTCTCCGGTTGCTTCTGTCTTTTCTCCTCCCTCTTCCGTCGCAATCCCGCGCCCCACGGAGAACGGTCGTGGTGCGGGAGTTGCGTGATACCTTCTTCCTGGGCTCTGGGGCTACGCAGACCCGTCGCCTGCCTGGAGCTCCTGTGCCCTCAGACGCCACGGGAAAACTTGCAGGGACATCTAGCGCCAGGCGTGGGGAACTGCGCGCCGCCGGGCTGGGAAGTGGAGGCGAACGCTGCCCCTCCGCCTCCCTCTCGGCTCCCCCTTCATACTTGGGCACTTTCCTCACCTTCAAGCCTTTGCCCTGCCGGTAAGGACAATGTGGATTCCCCATAGAGACAACGGACTCTGCGGAATGGAGATAGGTAGGTAGACAGACATTTTCTTTTATCTCAAGCGACGGACAGAGTGAGAATTTACTGGACTTAACAATGGTTTTGCTAGGGAAGTGTATTCCAGGGACAACCCCTCACCTTGAGACGTCGGATAAAACTACAGCAAATTAGGGTCCTAGCTTTTATTTTCCAAAAAAAGGCAACAAGTTACTCTGGGCCTCCAGCTCCTGCCCCACCCTCCTGCGTCCCTTTCACAGTGAGATTAGTGCTTCTCTTCAAAGGAAAAAATCCTCACTGTGTTTGATTTTCTCCAAGGCTGGAGAAGTTCTCCCCATCCCAAAGAAGGGCCCACTGTCCTGCACGAGGCAAACCTGGTTCCAGCAAATAATGTTTCTGGTTTGGAGGGGGTTTGGGACTGTTGTTGCTGCAAATGATTTTCATTTGATAAAGCCTAATCGTGTTGTGAAACCCAAACGGAACATGTCTCCAAGGTAGAAGGTACTCAAATGTGGATTCCATTGTCTGGCTGTTGCTGGGGTCTCCTTTTTTCACACTAGGTTTTGTTTGTTGTTATTTCTTTTGATATTTCCAGGCTGAGTAAAACTCAGTGTTGCCTGGAGAGGGAAAATTAGCTCCAAAGTTGGCAGAACACAGATTTGGTTAAGAACACTGTCCAGCCATTTCTGCTAGACTTAAGATTTTACTTTGGAATTAAGACTCTATTTCTACACCAAATATTTGGCTTCTTACAAGTTAATTAGGAGGGTGTCCTGCACTTCCTGATCTTGGCCATCAAGACAAATGCTTTCAAAGGAGTCCCCAGGACCCCACTCTGATAGAATCCTGTGATCCTGGCCTTAATGGCCACTGATTATGTGGTTAATTGAGCTCATTGCTGTCTTGGCAAGCAGAGCAACTTCAATAAATCTAAATCACAGCCTGTATCTGCCCGTTCCCCCAACCTAGGACAAGAGCAAAATTTGAAAGATCATATACTAGGATGAAAGGAGAGAATATGACCTCCAGAACAGCACTGATGCTTAAAAAGGATGCCTCTGGAGGAAAAGGAGGAAGAGGAGCAAGTGATGGGAGAGTACAATGGGACTTTGGGCACCAAAGGGCCATCCTGAGTTTTTCACCAAAATCAGGAACAGCGGCAAAACTGGTTTCACTGAAGAAGACATGCATGTTTGGAGACATGTGTAGTCTCCAAGGATTTTCACTTAACAAAGCCCATTTCTGTTGTTAAGACCCCTGCATAATGCACCCACGCACAAACACAAGGCTTGGTCTGTGCTCCTGGCCGGCTAAAGAAACTGATTCCCATTAAGTTTAAACCTGAATGAAATGTTTCTGCAAATTTAGTCTCAAAATTCCTCCCCTACCTGGCTTCCCCAGCTTGTAAACTATGTGTCTCATTAGTTTATAAACAAAGCAGCCCTGACTTTGCCTGGTACTCAGCCACAGCCCCAGTATCCAGTAGCATTTGCCCTGAGGTGCTGGGCTTGGGGGCCCAAGTGGACCAAGTCAGACCCCCTTTCCTCAGGGCAAAGCCCTCCCACAGGACTGGGACCCCAAAGGCTATGCTGGAAGCAGGTTCAGCAGCAGGATATCAAGGGGCAAAGCTCCTAATTAAAAATCTTCCTGGCTTCTGAACGTTCATTAGGATGGACCTAGAAACCTTTTGCCCTGCTCTGAGAGGGTCCCACAGGGCTTTTGGAAGCAGAGCCACCGTTGAGAAATCCCTTTCAACCTGAGTAGTAATTCAGATTTTTCTCCCACTCCTGCACAATTTAGTTTGCTGAATGGAAAATTCAGCCAAAAGTGATGGGCTGCTTGAAATCAACAAAACTTGACACATTCTTCCCATTTTCATTTTACTTTATTTATTGTTAAACACATAATTGATCATTAAACTGCACTTATCAGTGAGAAAATGAAGCAGAAGCCCAAGGCACAAAACCACAAGGATATTTAATTTTAAGAGACTGTAAGTTTGTTGGTTCTAGTTATGTCTTAGAAATATTTCAACGAATTTGTTTTTTGGAGTCATAAAAAGTTAAAACTATCTTCATGTTTTCTCTGAGGAAGAAAAAATGAGACAAAGAGAAAATAAAAGCATTTCAGGGTGGCCCATGGTTGGTGGTTTGGTACCAAAATTTTTTCATAAAGACCCAGCCAAACCCTTTTTAAAAGTTAGCAATCCCGTCGCCTCGCCACGGTTAGCCTTTTTAAAATGTCGGTCGAACTTTCATTGCTGACTTTTGCCTTGTTTTCCCAAATAGTGAAAAAATAGTTCTCATCAGCAAACTTCTATTTCCTGTGATTTCCTGTAAAATTCAGGCCCCTCCCATCTCAAATTTGATCATGAAGCTGTCGAGAACTTCAAAAACATGAAACGAATTTTCTTGCTTTTCCTTTCCAACACCCCTCTCATAACTTTCCCCTTTATTTGAGCCTTTTATGGTTACTGCGTTTTGCGTGTCAACACTCCTAACACCAGCAGCCCACCCTGAAATGCCAGGCCAGGCCAAGGAGGGCCTCCCTGGCTCTCTTCCTCATCTTACTCAGGGAGTCTTTGGTCGGGGGAACAGTGGTGCTGGGTGACAAGCTCTCACCAATCACAGGCTTAGGGGAGTGATTTTCTTGGAGATGGGCTGGCTTGGGGAGTGTGTGCCACAGAACCAAATGGGCTCTGAAGGATCCCATATCCACCCCCAGAATTCTGGGCTCATTGGATCTAATATTGTTCCTAAGGCAGAGCCCCACAGTCACAGCAGGACTCTCATTGGTGCCCCATTAGTTGCTGAGATTGAGGGATGGTGGGCTGGAGCTCTGAGACTGAGGAGCAGCAGAAAGGGATGATGAGGGATAGGGCTGTAATCCCTAACACCCTGGCAGTATGGTTCCAGAGCTGGACCTAGCCCCACCAGCACTGCCTGAGCCCACCTGACCCCTTGAAGTCAGACCGTTTGTCTGGGCTGCTCCTATCACAAACTCCAAATTTGCTCGGAACAAGCGCCCTCTTAATTTGCCCCTCTCAGTTCTCTGCAGTTGGCAGCTTGGAAAAGGAAGCGAAACAAAGGTCCCTGGGAAAGTGAAGTTTTCAATTAATTTGGTGTGAGGAACGGGCGGGAGTGGGTGGTGACTGCAAAATGCGAGGCCGGTCGGCTGCTGGAGAGACACAGAAGTTTCACGGCGGGCGGCTGAGTGGCTTTCTTCCCCGGCGCCCTTCTCAGGGTCTTTCTGCGGGTCGAAGAAGGACCCGTGGGATCTGAGGGGCCCAGGTCGGAAGTGACTCCCGGCTGGCCCAAGAGTAGAGGCCAGTAGCGTTGAGTAGGCATCCATGGACTTTTCTCTCTGGCACAGATTGTCAGGCTCACTGCGCCGATGCTTGTCTTTCATCAGTTTAAGTCTCTGCCGCCAGCCCCAAGGGCGCTTTGTGGGCATTTTCCGGACGGACAGCGTGTGTGTATAGGAAGGGTCTGCTCCAATGCCTCTGATCTGTGTGAAATGCCTTTGCCGGGTACCAGTGCGCAAGGTAGGGCAAATTAGCCACTCAGATTTGGGGTCTAGAGGTCGACTAACTGAGGGATTCAGCAACAGGATAAAAAATGGGCTGAGGGATTCAGCAACAGGATAAAAAAAATGGACCTGTTTTCACATCATTCTGATCATCTCTGTCCTTCGTCTTCATTTTGCTGTGCAACTCGGGTAGCCGAGGAGAGGTGGCAAAAACAGCGGTTGCCGAGACAAGCAGGCCTCGGCGCCCGCCTCAGTCGCAGACAGGGCCTGGGATGGGCCGTCGCGCAATCAACTCGTGGGGGTGGCTGCAGCGCGTACGCCTGGGTCGGGGGGAGGGCGGGAATGGGAGGTGGACCCTGCAAGGGGCAGGAGAAGGGTGGGGACCGGGGTGGGTGGGTCCAGCCGGGAGCCAGGCTCCCC